CATGTGGTTTTACCTCTACATGTTTTGAGTTGCATTTAGATGCTAATTTATTTATTTTATATTTTTTTTTTTAATTTCTACCTCTTTGGGATTTTCATGGGATTCAATCTTTGTGTTTGATTTCTGGAGACTAAGATTAGTTCTGATGGATGCTTACTTTCCTCAGTCTCTCTGTCGTTGTGTCTCTGAACGACAGACTCTCAACTGATCCCTTCCAGTTAGCTGTATGTAACTTTCTGTTTGAATAATGTAATATTGTGACTCCAAATCATAATGATAACAGATGTGCAGCTGAATGTTTGAGGCAGATACTCTTAAATTGCCAGGAAAGCACAAGAGGTTTGTATGAGTGGTTCAAAAAACACTTGTTTGCAAACACCTACCTTCAGTGTCTTTAGCACAAAGAACTTTGTATGTTTTGGGGTCAAGTGTCCTTTATTGGATCTTGGGATGCTGATCCATCTACTTCTTGTTCAAAGTACTTTCTTTGTGTTCATGGTTTACAGTGAATTCTTCCTATGCTTGTTACTTAAATAGAATTCTAGTAACGGAATTGCTTTCTTTCCAATCTTTTTCCTTCCTCTCCCCACACAAAAAGACCCTGACCTTAAAAACATCAGTTGATCAGCTGCTTAAAACCAACTGACTTCACATTGGTTGAAAATCAAGACACGGTTCTGTTCCAGCCCACTTTCCTCTTAAAAGTTGCTGGCTGGTTTGTGTGGGTCAGATGGAGTCATCCAGCAACTGTTATTTGTTGCTTAAGTGATTTTAATCTGCTTGATTTCATCCTTTGTAATATAGAGCTGTTGCATGTGCTTTGCATCATGCTTTGAGACCCCTGTATGATTTAAAAATATCACTGTTTCGCTGAAAAGTCATCTCCATAAGTGAAGTACCCTGCTGCGGTTATGGAGAAAGTAATCTGGGGAGAAACTGAACTACGTGGATGCTGAAATAGTCCCACAGTAAATGGTTTTGGGATCTGCATGAGCATTTTGTTTATGTATAGCCAGCAACAGGAGGTGTTTGAGTAGCTGTTTATAGTTCATATAGTAAGCTTGTGTGCTGGATTTTATCATGTGGCAATGAGACATCCTTTTTCTGATCTGGAAGCTAGTGTTGCTGTAAATGTTGCTTACTAGTATTTTATGGTTTGGTTGGAAACTTGTTTGATCAGCAGTCATGATATCATCAGTGATGATCTGTGAAAGATAAGCGCTTCAGTAATGTATTTGTTGCTAAATAAAAAGATAGGTTGTTTACTTGTTGCAAGTCCGTGGTGTCTTTTCAGACTTAAGCTCTTTTTTTCCTTGCTGTGATAGCCAACTGCCTGGTTTTCCAGGTTGCATTTAACAGTGGTATATTTCCACCTTCAAATCCAAGGACTGCTCTGTGAGCTCTTTTCCTGTTTTCATGGTGTTATTTGTGGAAAAGAAGCAGACCAGAGTGAGTTTTCAAAACATGCTCTAATTATGTCAAGTTGTCATTGCCGCAGTCTCTGCACAGAGTAACTCTTGAACTCCGCAGGCCGTGTTTTACTGTTAAGTGGTTACTTTTCAGCTTCATCCCTTTGAAGCCTAGGAGTTGTGCTGATATAACTAATAAATAGAGTTTACTTCTGATTTTAAGCTGTAAACTAGTGTGTCTGTGTATTAGCCTTTGCTTGTAAGCACTTTGTAATTTAATATCTGATTTGTTTGCACTGATTATCAGAGTCTTGAAACCCAGCAATCTCCTTAAGGAGAGTCTTCTGTGCATGTTATCACTGGAAAGGATAATCAACTTATATATTTAATTGTGGGTTATTTTCTTGCAATATATAGCTTCCTTCTAAGATGTAGAAAATGTTTTCATTGGAATTTTATTAACAAGACAATCAACAGCAAATTAGTTTTTTGGCATTTAGATGGCATGAAATTAGAATGTCTTCTTTGCAATATAAACTCTTATTGCCTTTTTCAGGGGATATACTTGTTTTCTGGACCTCAGTTCAGAATCTGACAGAGATTTGTTCGAGACAGAATTAAGATCCTGGCAGCTGGTCGTCTTGGGACTGACTGCTGCAGGAAGGAAAGGACTTTAATGGGAGTTCAGCACCTTGCAGTTGCTGTGTTTCTCTGTATTCAACCATGAGACTAAGAAAAATTATTTTTTTAATCAATGCAGAAAAAATTACTACAAAGTCAGTATTGACTTTACTGTTTAGGGCTTGATTGCCTTTCTTAATTCCTACCCAAAATTTGTTTGGTTTAGTTAGAACTGAATAGCACCAGTATTCTAAAAGTTCATTTTTTTTGGTCTCTGGTGTTCTCTATTGCATCACAAGCAAATTTGAAAAGCAGACTTAATCTATGGGGAGATAATGTGATGCCCTGTAATTCAATATTCATAGCTGAGGGGGTGTATTTTTTATGAAGAAGGAGAATTATTCAATAATTGAAGTATATGGCTGAGACATGAGATTCAGCTTCTCCCCTTGGTTCTGCTGGGCACTCTGAGTATGGGTAACTTGTTTAACTTCTTATTTACTGATGAAAAAGATGACACTGATCAAAGAGAGTACAACATTCAGCAAATCTCCAGAGTGTTTTCTGAATGAGAGCATCAGGAATGCTCAGGATCTGTAGAATATTAGTAGCTACTGTTCTCAATTTTTTGGGGTCATTTGCCTGTTAGTGTAAGTATCGCACTTGATAAAGGTATATGTACTTTGGCTGAAACAAAGTTTTGTGCTTTGTTCTGCACAGACATCCACAGACAATCTCTGCCATGGAGCTCTTATACTCTGACTAAACGAGTTGCGGGAAGGATGGGTAAAATATATAAGTAATAGAATGGAGACAGAATAAAATTTGTAAATGCTGAGAGGTGAATTTATTTACTGATGCTCTAAGTAGAAAGATGACAGGAGTAGATGAGAGAGTAGTGTGAAAGAAGAGGTTTGGAAGAAGCCTGCAGTCACAGCAGTACAGAAAAGGTCCACTGAAGACTAGAGGATGTTCTCAGCCTTGCCGTAGAGCCCTGCAGTTGCTTTTTCAAGCTGGAAGCTTCATCTGTCTATTCTCTGCCTGTTTTTTCCCTGAGGCACAAAAGGAAAGAGCAGATGGCTACCTATAGCTTCTTGAATGTATGCATCTATCTGCACAGTACACAATCTCAAGGAATAAATCACTATTTTAGATCTTTCTGGAGTGCTTCTCGGCTGCTGCTTTTTGACTCCCCTTCTGTTCCCCAGAACCTTTATCTTTTCACTCCTGTTATAATCAGCTTTGCTTATTCTCCTGTGTCTTGTTTTTTTAAAGTACGTTTTTTAGAGATACTAATTTCTTGGTGATACCTAATAAGAATCTAACAGTAAAACTTTATTTTTTTTTTTGTTCGATTGTTTCTATGCTTTGTTCACATAACTGATATACAACTAATTCCAAGTGGTCAGGGAAAATGATCTTTTTTTTTTTTTTTAACTGTCTTCTATTGCTCAGTAAGTAAACTTAAGAACTGCTGCAAATGCCTGCTGGGTCTCTTCAACTTGCAGTGAAATGAGGAGTTTCCTCTAGCTGGGACTGCAGTATACACTTCCAACTGAAGTCAAAGCACAGCATATGTGTAATGTGTATTGTCTGTAAGGGGAGTGTATGGTTTTCTGGGACTTACCAGGTATAGAAATAATTCTAAAAAAGAATATTTTTTTAAAATAATTGTTCTTTTCCTTAATAATTTGGTAGTATATTCCTGTTGGCGTTCTATTTGATACTTTGTCTTCAGACCAAAAAGCAAAATGTTTAGGAGGGTTGTTTTGCTCTCTGAATTCAAGCCTCTGTTATATAGGATAATCAAATCCTGGAAATGGGTATTAGATGGAGGGGGAAAAAAAAAAAAGAAGAAAATCTCATGACTGATAAAGGTAGTGGGAGCATACTGTAAAGAGTCAGGGAAGCCTCTGCAGAAGTCAGCTCAGGCCTGGACATAGGTGTGTTAATGTTGGTAGTACTTTAAAAAAACACTGGTGCAACTTCAGTTAGAACAATCTTACAGAAGCTCCTAATCTGATTTTTATGTTACTGCCTTTTGGGTTAGATTTTAAAGGTAGTCAAATTATCTGTTTTTTTTCCTTTAAAGTATAATTTTCCAAATAAATCTTCCTCGTTTAAAGTAAGTAGTTCAATGAAGCAATACATTGTTGGAATTTCAGTCATTTGTAGTTTATACTGTATCTTTTAAAGCAAGCAATGAATTAATTTCTTCCATTTCTTTTCTAAAGTTTTCTATTACTTATAAATGTCTCTTTAGAACTTTAAAAAAAGAATTATCAATTAAACTCCAATAAAATTGCAAGGAAAGATGGCTGCACTGCACAGTGCTTCTGAAATTTTACATGCATGTGCATTTACATTTTATTTTGAAAAGTGAACAAAGATTCAAAGTGTCTTGATATAAAAACTCTTTGGCCTCAGTCTGCCCCAGCATAAGAATTCTGATTCTGTAGGAGTGTCTTTACAAAAGGATTTTTTTTCTTTTGCCAACACAAAATAAAATACTGAGCAAGGATGCTGCAGCTTCACATTTCCAACCTACTTTTGTATATTTTTCAATAATTACTTACTTATAGCTTCTTAGAAATATGAGGTGTATCCTGTTCAGTGTGTAGAGTAGTATCAGTTTCCTATTGACTGTGTTTTCAGGAATATCAAAGGTGTGTATGAAGTTGAGTTTTTCTAGGGGATGCATCTTTGTAAATGGTCTCTACTGTTTCAGAAAAGCATCTGTAATTGCTGGGAAAGTCTTGTTCAAAGTTCACTGACTTAAGCATTGTTTGATGTCTGGACCACAGCTTAAATTCTAGTATGATGAGGGTTAGGGTGTTAAAGAGGGTAAATAGCATGATTTCTCACAATAGTAGGAATATATTAATGTATTTCATATGCTCTTCAATTGCATTGCAGAAGAGAAACAATGCCTTCACTTTTATTTATTTAATTGTTTATTTATAGAGAATGGAATAATCAAATCAGACAAGGTATTTGAAGTAATGCTGGCCACAGACCGTTGCCACTATGCAAAATACAACCCTTATATGGATTCTCCACAGTCTATAGGTAAGAGCATCATGTAAAAATGATTAAGATTGTTCTAATTTGCATAACTGTGACTGCCTTTGTCATATATATGTTAAGAATGTGAACATAATTTTTAAAATTTGTGTTTAGTTCTTTATTAGTTTTTTCAACAGCTTTTAACTAAGTTTCAATTTGTTATAGAATGTGATTGGCATACTTGAATAAGTCAAGTCCTTTAAGTTCTTATTAATACATGTAAATATGTATTTATTAAACCACAGCAATTTGTGTTGGTACGGCTGATGTTTAAATACTTAAAAATCATTTGTATCCAGTTTAAGTCAGAAACAGTCTCTCTTTACAGAAATGATTCAGTTGAGACTAGTGCGGAGTTCTTTAAACTTTTACATAAGATTCTTTAAAATATGAAAATAGGGAAGATCTGCTGATGGGACAGTTGTTTCCCATCCAGATCCCAGTTTTATCATTCAAAGGCAGGAGAATGAGTTATGCGAATGTACTAATTTCTTTTTTTCTTGATTCCCCCCCTCCCTCCTTTAATAGTGGGTGGTGAGAACTATGAATTATAGTGGGATTTTATTATTTTTGTAGGAAAATTCTTGGATTTTTTTAGTAGTGGGTGGTGAGAATTATGAATTGTAATAGGATTTTTATTAGTTGTATAGGAAAATTCAAAAATCTTTTAAGATACATACTCAAAAACGTATATATCTCCGCAGAAACAAATATAGGTGTGTTCCTCCATGTGTTCTCATAGGTATGCACTGTTTGCAAAACAGATGAGGTTATTGTCTCCAGAAGTTCTATGGTCCCCACTACATCAAACTCAAACTAACAAATTCAGATTTTTACATAGGGACTGAGTGAAAAATGCATTACATTATTCTGGGAGACATTACTCTTCTGCATTCCACATACTTGATAAAGCTAAGACAATATAGTGGCAAAATGGAGATTGTAACTAAGATCAAGGATAGAACCCCCCCAGCCCCTGTCCAGAATTGACATGGCATAGCTTTCAGCTGATGTGCCTTAACTCACTTCTGAAGGAAGAGTATCTGTATAACCATTGGGGGATGTGTGCATAGTGCCCTGAATGAGGGTGACAATTAAGGTATTGCATTTTACAGTCAAGGTAATAAAGATCGTAAGGTTGCTGTCTGAACAATGATCAACATATTCTTCCATTCTCTTGTTTTACAGGGTTCCAAGCAACAATCAGTGCTCCACATATGGTAAGCTTTAAACTTATGTAATTAGTATAGGTGATTTTATAAATGTCCAAATGCTTCTGAAATAAAATATTTATTCTAGCAAATTTAATGAACAGTTGATTGCAGTGATGCTGTTGTGAACTATCTAGTGGGAGGGCACGGAGAAGATTGAGCCTGACTTTTCTTGGAGATGCACAGTGATAAAATGAGTGGTAGTGGACAAAAAAATGCAACATGGGAAGTTCTAATTAATTGCCTGGGTGAACATAAAAAATCCCATTGAGGGTAGTTAAGCACTGGAACAGGTTTCACAGATTGTGGAAATTTTCTTTGATGTACAAAGAAGCTGACTGGACAGGACTCTTAATTTAAATTGCCCCTGTGTTGAAAGAGGGTCAGACCACAGGATTTCCAGAGATCCTTTCCAACCTAAATTACTCTGACTCTCTAACTTATAAAAATATAATTATTCAGGAGTGGGTAACAGTGATTTCTATGTTGTGGTGTTGCTGTAATGCCTTTAATTCTTTGGACATGAAAAAGTAACCCACATTGTACAAAGATGCAGGTTTTTTGCCAAGTGGTTTGAGACCAGGACATTCATTACTGAGCATTAAGAGGGGATTTCAGTACATAGATCTAGCACAGACCTAATTATTCTGTGTCTTTATTCGACACGAAGGATGAATAGAAGCGTATGTTTTGTCCTTGCAATATTTGGAAAGTGTCAAAACATAGTAAAAGTCTGCTCCTCTTCACTACAAACTACCTAGTTGGGTTAGAATTTACCTAGTTATCAATATATTAAAAAAAAAAACCAAACCCAAAAAACCCAGGACTCATAGAAATGTTAATGATTTTGTTCAAGGAAAGACAGAGGAAACTACTGTGGCTAAGGGAGAAAATAAGTTTTAATTATGTTTTCTAAATTTTAACTCACCTAAGTCATTATCTTTGAATGATCCTATGCTTAGCAGTAGTATTATATGAAGTGTTAGAGCACAAAGAAAATGTATTCTCTAGGCGAATGTTAACAATCAATTTTCTAACAATATATGTTCTAATTACTTCTGTTTTCTGGGTGTGATGGATTAAGCCGTAAGAGTGTGGTAATGGCCAACCCTCAAACATTGAAGAACGAATTGGTTTTTTTAGTGTGCGACCTAAGCTTAGTTTGTGTACTGGTCCATCGCATAGGAAAGCAAAACTGCTCATGAAGTCTCTCTGTAGGCTACTGCATTTCATATATGAGCCTGGCTATCTGCTTTTATAAAAGAAAACTTATTTTTTCCTACTCTCTGATTCAGCAAGTGTGCAGGTAATGCAAGAGGTAGTTTTAATAGCCAGTTTCCTTGATGCTCCAGAGCATCCTTCTTCCTAGCTAGAATCTGTCCCAGCTTATTCCAATGTATATAGTGTAATGATAACCTAAATTCTTTATGGGCCATATACTGCTGGAACAGTAAGAACCACCAGACCTGAAGAGAATTAAATTGATTTATGGTGTCTTTCCCAATAACTATATATAAATTGTGTGATAGAGGCTTGATTGGTCAGATGAGTTTATAAATATATACACACAATTTTTTGAAGTCCATGAAATAACAATGATTTTATCATGTAGTTAACTCTCACAACACAGAAAATAATTCTGAAATTTCTTACAGGAATCCTCAGTGCATTGTCCAAAATCACTGAAGAGATGAACATATATTGAGTAAAATAGACACTTAAAATATTTTGAAATTTTCTGTCATCTTCTCTTAGCATGCATATGCTCTTGAACTTCTGTCCGATCAGTTACATGAAGGAGCCAAAGCACTTGATGTAGGATCTGGAAGTGGTATCCTTACAGCATGCTTTTCGCGAATGGTGAGATACTTAGTTTAATCACTTGACCATCAGAACTGCTTGAACTGTAGCATAGCTCTGAATTAAAGGGGGGTGGGGAGGGATGGGGGGAAGAAAGCATAATTCATGCAGTGGACTGATGTAGATTGTACAGAAAATAATTTAGTCTCCTGTGTCTGATTAGTACCCATTTCTTACCCTGGTTAATACTAGATCGTTGAGTTAAAGGGTCCAGTAAATTGTGTGGTGGTGAAGAGACTGCCTAGAGGGGAAGGTTTTTTTTCTTGATTGCATTTTAGTGGTTGCTTTTTAAGCTTGAAGGAAGGAGGTGTTTGTCTTGTCCAGCCCAATTTTTACGTTATCTTGTGTGGCTATGAATGTTCTCACTGTGATCAATTTTCATGTCTTCCTGCTATGACGAGAGCTTAGTGAGACCTAAAAGAATCCTATTTCCACAGGGAAATATGTTGTATTTATATAAATTGCCTTTGAATTTAACTTTTTTTTTGTTACTATATTGCGTGAACTTCACTATAAGTATCCATTTAATCTTTTCTAAGTTAGATATTAATTTATATTCTTTTTACATCTTCCCTAAGTAATTTAATCTCTGTGTTGTTCAGCCTGTACATACAGAATTGTCCATGGTTCCACCCTATCTTACATTAAGAAAAAAAGATTAAAAAACTTGTTTTATGATGGCTGTAACTACAGTACTGTTAGACTAATTAATGTAGTGCAATATAATCAGTTCTTCTTTCTCTATTCCAGGACTTTATCATTGCTATATAATTAGCAGAGACCTTCATTAAACTGCCGATTAGATTTTTTTTTTTTTTTTTTTTGTTTTTCTGAGAAATTAGTTTGGAATATGGTGATGCATATGATAAATTCACATACGGTTTTTCTGCTACTTAGTTTTCCATTTTCAAACACTGATTTGAATCTGTGATCACTTCTGTGTTAACAATTAGGTAAGAATGTTTAGGGCTGGGCAGTGCACTAGCAAAAGTGTTCAAGTTTTTTAAGTGTTCGCTGCAAAATAACTTATTTCAGCTACATTTTTTTTTTTATTTAACCAAACTGCAGTTTTGAGGAAATCTTAAATGTCACTTATTCAACTTTCTACCTATTATTTTTGGTCTAACTTTGTAGTCGGTAAGCAAGTGCTAGTAGCATGCATGGGAACTCCAGTCCTACAAGCGCTAAAACTTTTCTCAGTTATGTGTATTTCTCACTGAAAAGTTGTGAATGCATAGAAGAATAGCCATTTTCAATAAGACATGATAAGATGTGGTTGTGCCCTTTTTTCTTTTAAAACAGCTATATAAGAAAAGCTGCAAGCTATCTTTTTATTGCCATATGAATGTCATGTTCCTCTTCTGAAACCTCCTTGGCGGTATGCTGTGGAATGCCTTACAGACATGTTTTGTGAAACATGGCACAAATGCTTTTGTTCTTTTTGATAGCATTACTACTGTGCAATATGGATCTTGCTTCATCCACTAGGATGAATAAGACAATACGTACTGCTCTGACTTTGTAAAGTTCTTTCTAACAATAACAAAAGCTTGAAAGAAGTATATTACGGGGAATGATGGTAAAGTGTTTTGCTATCAAAATTCAGTTGGGGATGTGCTTACTGGATCATGTGGGTGTTGCTGTTTAGTCTACTTGAGACCTAGAATGAATAGTTCTCATTTGTGGCACAAGTGCCTGAGTTCACATTGATGTTATGACGGCTTTACTCCTATGACAATAATCTCATTTGTGGTACTACTGGGAAAGCTTAAAGTTTACTTTAAAAAGTTCAATGAAAAATAACTGTACATTTCTTCCTGTAAGTACTGGAATTATAAAAGGAGTGAAGTACGTTTTTATTCCAAACAGACCATGGAGTTCCCCAAAATTGTGCCATTTTGCTATTGCAATTGCACGCACTTCAGATTTCCAGGTAAATAAAGGTAATTGAGGACTCAGAAGTAGTGTAATGGACTGTGACATGTAGCCGCAGGTTCACTTGCTTTTATATCAGGTTATTTCATGCTATGATCATTTTGCTAAATTACAACTTCTGTGACGTTACCCTTTGGACTACGCTTGATCTTTTCCCAGCTTCTGGTACAACTGATTGTTAGGCATTCCTCCAAATAGCAACCTGTGGTTGTCATAGTGAAAACTGGCCACGTGTCTTGCTCTTTCAAAGGCTAGACTGGTGGTCTTCCACTTGAAAAAGAAGAGATAACACTGCTTTTTCGATGTTTTTAACATAGGACTTGTCCATAATAAACCAGAAAAAAATGCCATGATATCAATAACCAGTTATTAATTTTCCATGTCTTAGCAACATTAAAATGTAAGATACAGAAACATAACCAATGCATTGAAATGTGTCCAAAGGCAAAGCTGTATGACAACATGGACTGCGAGGACATTATCTGCCATTGTGTTCTTTGAGCTGGATCCTGTTAAAAATGGTCAGATTTTAAGATCTGGATTCTTTTTGCTCTCTCCAAAACTGGAATAATTTTTCTTGAATAAAGACACAATTCCAGAAGAAATACCTGTAACGGAGAAGTTTTTGTTAGTAGGTCTTTTTCCCCCCTCAGAATACAGAGATCTTTTGTGACCTTTTGTGAGTTATGAACTCTCAAAAGTCCTACTCTTTCTGTGGAAGAGAGCTGTAAATCTGAAAGTAGATTCATGAATGCAAGAGTAGGTGAAAGGTAGTTTGTCCCTGACTGTTAATTGCTGCATTTGCTTCTGAAAGAACAGGACTCTTGAGATAACTTAGAATAAAATGCATGACTTAATGTTTTCCTTGAAGTAAGGTCTTCTCTAGAAAAACCTTAATCTTTAAGTAAGTTTATTCAAAGTGAAAGGAGATTAGTTCTAGTCTTTGTCCTTGAAGTTGTTACTTTCTGTTGCAGGTAATGCAAACACTTATGATCAAATTTAACTTCTAAAAATTCAGGGAAGAAATCTCCACTAATAGTATAACTTAACTGAATTACATCTCAAAAAGATGGCTCTAACAAGCATTTATAAGACTGTACTGACAAACTTTAATTACCAATTGCTTCTAGCAGTCAGGATGTGTCATTCCAAGCAGTAGTTCTGGTAACATTGGGAAAATATACTACCACTTTACTGGTTTTGCTTTTATTTGAGAGAAATGGGCTCAGAAGCTAGAAATACTCATTCTATAAATAAATCAAAACTAGCAGAAATTATTCAACTATATATTTTTATTCCAGGTGGGTCCCAAAGGACAAGTTGTAGGAATTGATCATATCAAAGAACTAGTAGATGACTCAATAAATAATGTCAAAAAAGATGATCCCACATTGCTGTCTTCAGGAAGAGTGAAACTGATTGGTGAGCATCAGACTGATATACTTACTAATTAAACTGGTATTCTTTCTAGCAGCTGGTTGAAAATGACTGGAATTAGATGTGATTAAAAATTCTAATTTAAGAAGTTAAACCAAAGAAATAAGAGCCAAAGGAAAATTTTAAAATCCAAGTGATCTTTAGGCCTTTGAAAAATATTATTTTCACACAGTTCTGAGAATATGACTTCTGGTAATCTTAAGAATATGTAATCATTCTGTTAGAGAAGCTTAACAGGGAAGTGTTTTCCAGTGAAAATACTTTACGTGCTGAAGGTCTGTCATGTTCAATTTGCTATTTAAAATTGTGTTTGAATGCACAACTTTTCTGGAATTAAATTTACTGTTATCTAAACTTGAGCATTTCAAAAAAGTCTTTGTACTTCTGATGTAGTAGTTGAGAAAGCTGCATGCAAAGACTTAAGTGGAAAAAGTACTAGATTGGCAGTATGCATCACTGAAGTTTATTTCACTTGTTTTTAAAATTAACAGTGTTTGTATGTTAGGGAAGTGATTAATTGACACCAAACTGCTTTAATTCAATCAGAGTTACTGAGAGGAAATAATGCTAAAATTATACAAGGACAGTGAATTGGGGGTTTTTTGACTGAAAAGAAGCTTTTTTTTTTTTTTTTGAACATGCAAAACTGGCAGGAGGAAAGCATTCCCTTCATTATCATTCTATTAAGTTTAAAAAGAAGTTGAAGGTCTGGATTATTTTTTGAGACTTCTTACAAGAGTACTTGGAAAAATTATTATTATTTGTTATTTGGCTCTTACCTTAATTACCATTTTGATTCTTGGTCTTTCTTTGTAAATGAGGGAGTTTTCTAAACCTTTTTTTAAATAAGCTGATCAACACATGTACTTGTGCAAGTGTATAAAATGCAGTGTCATTACTGAGAACGCTTATGCCTTAAGCTTTCTTGGAAGAGAAGTTATACTGAGACTGGGGCTGGAGAGGTGGAATAGGGGGATAATTTGCATTGTTGCTGTATAAGAGCAATTTGGACTTATGCTTCTGGTTATACCTGAAACAAACTCTGATGGTCTTGGGAGTCTAGAATTCTAAATAAACATCATCATCTATATTATGCTTGACTGTGTAGCAGAGTGACTAAGAGACTTCTGAATAGTTTCTTTGTGAGATACACTTTTAAAAAAGTACAGATGGGTGAGCAGCGCTTTTGTGAATTAGGTGGAGAAGAATGTTTCAACTGTGCTGGATTCCTGGGAGCTCTTTCATGTGGAGCTAGAATCCAGACAGAGCTGTTCTATTTAATAAAAAAAAAAAAAAACAACAACACCCCAAAAAAAACCCCAAACATCCCCGTCCCCAACACACAATCAAAAAACCCCTGAAAACCCAGGGCTGATTGGTGATGGGAACTGTATGACTTAGTCTAGATAAGTCAGTTCCTGGCTTTTCACAAGTATGATTCAAACATTTTCCATTGCTTTGTCGTACCTCAGATATCCCATAATTGCATTTCAGAAGCATCAATATTATTTTAGGATGTCTCAGTAATATACCTGCCCTGAGAACTTGGGAATAGGTATGCTAACGGTGTGTCTCTATTAGGTTGTGGTGGGTTTTGCCTTTTTGTGTGTGTGTGTGGTTTGGTTTTTTTTGTTTTGTTTTTTCTTAAAATCAGGAGGGTGCCTTTGAGGTCAATCATTCAACTGCTTCCACTTACCATACTTTGTCTCACATGAGAGCGTTCCTGGAGAGCACAACCTTTGATTCCTTTTGGATGAAACTAGACTGGATTATGTACTCTGGGAAGCAACCAAATGTTTGATATGTTAATGGATATTAAGCCCGTAAGACTAGAACTAGACCAGAGTGATCTTTCTGAAATGCATATGTTGCATGGACATCAGGTTCTTAGCAGAAACTGTTTTGCTGTACAGGTGTGATTCTATTGTACTGCACTATTTGCTGATGCAGACATAGACGGAGGGAATGAGGGTATTCTAACCACAGTGAACTAGTTTCTTCTGTTTCTGTGCTCATGGTGCAACTCTGTGTGAAACAGGTCTGCCTAGACACACTGAAGGCTTGAGTACCATGATCTGCAGATCAGGTCTAGGTCTGAAAATGAGCTACAAAACCCTCTTATGTCAGAAAGTCCTCGCAGTACTTCCTCTCTCATCACCACCCACCACCATGATTATTTCATTAACAGGCAGCATGTAACTGGAGATCTGAGTAGAATGGGCGATGTTATTCAGGATGTAAGTGCAAGCTCAAAATTTGGGCTGCTGTTTCCCCTTGGACATTGAATAATGTAGTAATTTGTATCACACTGAAGGTATGAATGCTGACTTAACTTGAGCTTTTTTTAATCTTCTGGATATCTAAAAGTGTGTTCCCATTGTAGGTGGATATATACGTGACTGCTGTAGACAGGAGAATTTTTGTGGGTATTAAAAGGGAAGAGCCATGCTGTGATTGATGCATATAAAGGAGAATGATTTTTTTAGGGGTGGGGGGTGCTGATTCTGAAAATGATGGCTTCGGTTTAGACTACTAATTCTAAGAGCAAAGGGTTTAGATGTTTTGTGTCCTTTTTACCACTGTCAGTGAAGTGATAAGATGTGTGAAGTCACATTCAGACTTCTCTGGACAGCTCACAAGGTGCATTTAAGTCTCGGAATACATGCATTCTTCTTCAGAAGTCAACAGCAGTTTCTTTCACAGCTGTTCCTTCAACTTAGCAATCTTCTTCAGTACTGGAGGTCATTGCTTCTAATGCCTATTGCTGCATGTTAGGGAATGAGGATCTGTCTCCCTGTGTAACTAAAATCATTCAAAGCAGTGTCTTTATGTTTGAGCTAAAGAAGTCTTTCTCCATTGCCTTATCTGATGAAACAGCAGCTTGATACAGTAACACATCACTACTTTGTCTTTAGAGGAGCTGTATAGTGCTGCTAAGATATAAGCAAATACAAATTATATACTTGACCGCATTGAGATGGTTGTTCCACTAGAACCCACTTTGGCAGAGTCAGAGAGATTAAGCCCTGGAAATAGTGGAACTTTCATCTTCATTACTGGCAACAGTAATAAAAGCTGACTTAGTGGAATTCATGATCGGTAGGTATGGGTTCTCTTGAAGGAATCATTGGTAGTTCTTGCTTGGCAGCTTCTGCCTGTGGCGCTTGGTTGGAGCTTGTCCTGGTCAGAACTGATGATATGAGGAAATAAGTCACTGAGCTTTAACGGGGGGTTTCTCAGCTACTGGGGAAATATACTCTCTTATAGCCCTTAAGCTTTGGGTTTATAAAGTCCTTGCAGGGTCTTGTTTCAGGACCTAATATGAAAGATGACAAACTCCCCAATTTCAATCATTTCAAGGAGCTCTCCAGATCTTACTGTACACTCTTGGATACTTAAGGGTGTTGTTACTGTCCAAGGGGCCCTCGCTATCACTGAGGTAAAAATGAAACCTGCTACAGCCACCATGTATTTTTCCTTCCTTTCCTGAAAATATTTTTCCATATTTTCACAAGAGTTGTTGGAAGGCAAAATGCTGACAAATTCTCCGCATCTGGCAGAGACCTAGAACTTCTTTTGACTCATTCAGCCTTTTAATTTACCTGTGATAATAGTGATTGTGCAGAAGTCAAAGCTCAGTCTGAAGATGAGAAACACCAAATGACTACTTGTGCTGAGCAGAGGATTTCTTCTTGACTGATTACTGGGACTTCTGCACTCACTGAGTGTGAATTTATGGATGGTTTAGCATCATTTACTACTTCTGTTCATAAATAGCTCCAGAGAGCGCTTGTGTAACTTGCTCTGAATTTCCCATTGGTTTCCTGTGAATACAGTGGATGCTGCATTCACATCATCTTCTTTCAAAACTTAACTTGAGGTCTAGTTTAGTTTGCTACATTTCAGTGGCTTAAAAAAAACCAACAATCTGTTCACCTTTCGTTCTGCATAACTAGGATGGTATGAGACATCTGTGGTAGGGTGCTTCTGTGAGTTCTCCACCAAATCTGAAGCTGCATCAGTAGCCTGCTGAATAACTTAATTACCCCTAACATCTTCCAAGCAGCCACCTGGAGCTTTAGCCCCAGGTCTGACCTGGCTATCTGTGTTAGTCCAGCAGTTGTCTGCCGGAAGGATAATGAAACTGATCTGCTGGCAAAGGAGGATGTGTGGGAGTCAGTGTGGTACTGCACTGAGGTATGAATGCAGGTACGGACTTTCATTCCAACCGTTAGTGCAGTTACAGGTATATAGTCCGTGTGAATACTTGCTTTGTCTTTTCCTCACCTTTGGAGTCTTCTGATACGTGTTTCTGAGATTTAATGCTTTAGACTTATGTTTTGCATTATGTTTAGGAATGGTGCGCATGAAGGCAAGGCAAAGCTAAGTGTACGTTCTGAGAGAGTAAATGAGGGGAAAAGTCACCTGCTTTGAAATCGTAGGGAACATAAGTACTTAAGTATTTTTTTCTGGGTGGACCAAGTGTCTTCAAGAACTTTTCATTATAAATCCATGCTTTGTAATTTCAGGTGCTTCAGTACTATTTCATATCTTTTATAAGTGTGTGTATTATGTATGAGGATGTTTCATTGCATCTATTTTACAATTGTGTTAATATTTTTAAACTGACTTCATCATGCTATCACCACTTAGCAGAATTTGAGTTGAAATCTGAGGATAGCCTTTTATCTGCCTATAGATATGGGCAGATCAGCTGTTTTCTCCACTCCTTTTGAAAATGTTGAAAAAAAAAAAAAAAGTGTTTTCTTGCAGTGGGAGATGGAAGAATGGGATATGCAGAAGAAGCTCCCTATGATGCGATTCATGTAGGAGCTGCAGCACCAGTTGTGCCCCAAGCAGTAAGCCTTTATGTTTTATGTTTGTCGTTCCGTGATCTCTTAGCTGTAAAGAACACTTTACATACATATATACGTAAAATACTTGGTAGACTTGCACTGCTGGGAGCATCTGTGGGCAGGGTGGTATTACTCTATGGTGTGGGGTTTTTTGTTTCTGTTATAATTGGGCTTCCTGTTGGTTTGCAAAAGTTGTACTAATAACTCTCCTCTAAATAAACATTTTAAAATGACTTGTGCACAACCCTTTCCTATAGCAATGAACTGGAACATTTTATTTAATAAATGAATTTGGTTTTATCAAACACTGAGTTCCAAAATTTAAGTATTTGTTTCCCAGATTCCAAGGCATTGAGCTTGGTGGAAAAGTGGTATGCTCAGCTGGAAATACAGACAATGCGATGTGTTCGTAGCTTTCAGAGTGGATACAGGGCAGTTCTTACTAGAAAAGCTAAAGAGTAATTAGGGACTTTAGAAAGTGCATATGTGAAGTACATTCTTGCAGATAAGTTTTTTTTTCCTTCCTTACATCAGGTGAATGGGAATATATAGCATGATTTTGATATGCTAGATACCAGTTACGTTTTTTAAAATCTGAATTTTAATGAGGAATAGTGAAGGACTGGAGGTTTGAGGTGCTATAGACAGGTTAGACATTTCCAGATGTTGGCTGGTTTATTTTTTTTAATTTTTTGGGGGGAGTGAGGGTGTGTTCCCAGCAAAGTGTTGACAGATGACAATTAAAAAGATAATTTAAAGCTCATTAGTGAGTGAAACAGTTCTTAATTATAACTTTTCTTAGTAACAGGGCTTAAGATTTTTTTCCATGGGGTCTGGGAAGTACTGAACTTTTCTTCAGACTACTGTGATTAGCCACCTTCTTCAATTATGAAAGCAAAAGAAAAAAATCCAAGCACTTCTCTCACATACTCTGTTACTTGTCACTTATCTTACTTATATATTTTAGACTAGTTTCATAAAAAGCTGTGCCATTCACAGAATGAAAGAGGAGCTGTTGGTTAGCAAAATTATTCTAGAAAGATAAATTGAAAAAAAAAAAGTGAGAAATCTCAAATCTTACCCTGAGGGCTTAAGGGGACAGTTACCCCAAAAATGTTAGAAAATAGGCCTGTACTGATGCACAATAAATATCAAACAGTTAAAACTGGCAGTTTAAAAAGATTGAATCTACTCTAAAAATAAAGTTGTGATTTATGTTCCTTTTTTCCCCTCTTACATAGAAACTAAAACCGCAACCAACCCAGTTAATCCAATTACTGTTTTACCTTCTTTTGGAATTACATGAAATTATTGTGAATGTTTCTGTAATACCACTTGTTGTACCATGTTGTTGCAATACTCTCATTTTCAGTGCATTTTTTATTTTTCCTAATTGAAATAGTTATCTACTCCATAATCATAGATAGATAAATTGTGGCAAATTATTAATCTAATGTAACAAACTTTGGATCCAGCATCTTTGAAGTGGCTGGTTACATTCTAATTTCTGTGTTGTGTTCTAGCTTATAGATCAGTTAAAACCTGGCGGAAGATTGATATTACCAGTTGGTCCTGCAGGGGGAAACCAGATGCTCGAACAGTATGACAAACTAGAAGATGGCAGTGTCAAAATGAAGCCTCTGATGGGAGTGATATATGTGCCTTTAACAGATAAAGAGAAGCAGTGGTCCAGGTGGAAGTGATTTTCTGTTCCACTTACTTCTTCCACACACAAGCAAGGTGAAAGGGTGTGAATTTTAAGCAGATAGACTGCAAGGCCTGCCTTTGCTGCTGTCATTGCTTTCTGCTCCTCCATACCATGAAAAGTGACTCAGTCTGCATTACGACATCACCAAAAGGAGGTTATGCGAAGTTTGAGTTAATTTGAAAGCAGAAGAAAAATATTGCATGGGTTGCACTTTGTCTCATTCAGACATGTTTTCTTTAGTCTTTGGTGTGTTGAAGTTTCTAATTTGTTTTGAACACAGTATTTTCTAAATTTAAACTTCCCTTCTAATGAACTTTTTATAACTAGCTTGCCCGTAATTAGGGTAAACTTTAAAATACTGCTTAAGAACAAATATAGTTTTGTCCTGTAAGTTAGTGGTAATTGGGTGTTAATTTTTTTATTTTTCTGAAATGTCACAAAGGAAGAAGAATCTTTGTAAAATCCTTCGTGGGAAATACAGATAATCTTGTAAGCACTTTTCTCTCAGCCTCCAAATAGCAGAAAGTGGAGAACGTAATCCCTTCTTCCTTAAAGTATAAATGTAGTTGTGTAGTGTTCAGAAAATTCTCAGACATGTTATTAGAAGTCTGTCATCTGTCTCTGATGGGGACATATTTGTGTTTGCTAACACAGCAAACTCTAAAAGCCTTTCTAGAGGAGTAAACCTTCCAATTTGCTGAATTGAATGGTCAGTAACATAGACATAACACAGCTGTCAGCTTAAACCATACTAGGCATTAGTATGCCAGTGAACAAAGCAGCAGTCCTGTTTTGCTTCCTGGCAGAAAATGCTTGTGAATGTATTATCTGTGTTAAAATTAAGTGCATAAATGTGTATTGAGTTCTGTAAACAATTTTTGAGCTTTATAACTCCTAAATTTAGATATTTGGCTTTTTTTTTTCTCTTGATATTCTGGACTATAGCTTGTGATTTGGATACATAAACACTTAGAGTTTAAGCTATCAAAATGTCCATAAGAAGTACAAATAAAGCAGTTTGCATTACTGTTGCTTACTGAAACCTCATTTCAGTGTTTCTTGGATTACTGTATAGCCACTATGTACAAATTAATTTTAGAACAACTTTAATGAGTTACTGCTTAGTTCAAAGCTTGTGAAGCATGCTTGCTATTCAGATGCTTTGTATTTGTTATGCAAATTAATACTCTGTTCTCCAATATTGCCAGTATTCCCTCAGGGTGGTACTCGGGGGTTTCCTGCCTCTTTTAGGGTTTGGAAGTCTTGCTTTGTGTTCAGTTTCCTCCTCTGGCAAATGTGGTGGACATATTCAAGTTTGCAGTCCGTACTCTGCTTACTCTAGAAAAGAGAAGTATTCTCCTTAAGCCTTCCTTTTATTGCAGAGGGTGTATAGATTTTTCTGCATTTCACCTGGTCTGATTATAATAGCAATTGTGTTTTTTCGTAGCAGCAATGTGTGTTATTATAAATAGTGTTTATTGAAGGCTTTCTGGAATGACAGTAGGGAAGGTAGTGTAGTGTATTAAGGACTAGAATTCTAAGGTCTTTGCATTTCTTCTGTGCAGTTTGCATCCCCTCTTCTCTGCTAGCTCAGGAAGAAGTAATAGATTGTCTTTGGGCCTTCTTCAGTCATGAGTATTGTGGGGTTCTTTTCCCCAGAGTTTCTTACCAGTTTCTGTTCTTTTCTGAAATACTTCTTGATTTTATTTATTTATTTTTAATTTAAGTATTAAGAATATACATTGGTGTTATCAGAAGAGGTAAGTGCTTAGCCTGAAGGGTTACCTTGATCACTACAGTGGCATAGAAGCTGTTTCTTGCTACGTACATTTAAATTTGGTTCAGACTTGGAAATCTCTGTTAAAGGAAATCTCAGAAGTCCACTTCTTGTAATGTTTGCTTTTTCTTTAATTGTCCTTTTTGTGATCTGAAAAAAATTCACGTTCCCTTCTCAAGGATAATTGCCAATGGACTGCTGATCTTACAGGAGGTCACATCTGGGGGTTTTTTGTCGTTTTTCTTTATTGGTGATTCCAAAGTGTATGTCCAGCCAGCTGATGCTAAGAAAACTCCTAATTATGTATCAGCATTTGTTACTTATCATAGAATTGTTATGGCTGGAAAAGATCATCAAGTCCGACCATTATCTAATTCTACCAGGCCCACTTCTAAACCATGTCCCTATGCTGGCATCAAAGGTGAAAGAGATATTTTTTTTCCTGCATTTTCTAGATTTCAATTTATCATTCCTAAACTGTTGAAGACCTGTGAGCACAGATCAATTAGAGACTCTCCTGAAAGAGCATCTTTAAGTCTTTCTGTAACAAAGAGCTGTAGTGTATGAGAGACTCTAGTTGTTGTAAATCTAAAATTCATTGGGCAATCATCTTTTTTAGAGCAGCTCAAGAATCCTGTGTGTTTAGCTTGTTATTCTCTTAGTTTGCATTATGTTATACAATTTAATTCCTAATCCAGGTAACTGTTTCATCACATTAAGAATTGGTGTCCCTTCACAAAATACAATTGATAGGTCAGCAGCATTTTCCTAGGCCAGCAGACCTTCCAGTTGGCAAGAAAGAAGTGACTTGAATTTTTGCTTAGCCATTCACATACTGGAGAAGTTAGTACGGTTCCTTACTAGGGCTGCAAGGAGCTCTTTACAAAGCAGCACAACAGTGACATGATCTGTAAGTGGTATTTGAGGTCAAAGCTACTTTCAGACGCTTTGCATCGTTCTTTACTATGTAAAACTGGAACTTCAAGCAAAAGAAAATCTGGACTAGGTGGAAGAAAAAGACTCCTTGGATTTTGGTAAATTGGTATTGTGGTGCTAAATAAAGAATCTTATTTTGTGAATATTGTTCGATTTCTTTAAATTTAGTCAATAACTTTCTATTTTGGATTCAGCTACAGTAGTATCTTTAAGTTCCAAATATTAGTGGGAATCTCCTCAAATGTGACTCTGTGGGACGGAGAGATCCCTGTGTATATTCTCCTCTTGGAAGGAGAATATACACAGGGACCCTATCTCTGGTACAAAAATGAAATACGTTAGTGTACCAGAGATCCAGTAGTAGGTGCCCATGTATGTCGTTAAGCTGGGAATGATGTTTATCTTTTCACATAAAACTTCCCAATTATTAATTGGTTTTTTTTCTTACTGATAAGTAGGAAGGAGAGAAGATCTCATGTGCCACACAGTTGAGAACACAGCTTATTGGGTGCCTTATTGGCAGTTGTTCTGTAAATTAGGATCTCTCTGGTTTTACTGCTCTGTGAGAGTTCACTTGCTACTTACACAGAAAGACAATTTAAAAAGAAAAACAATGTAAGGAATGTTTAGTAATGAGTCTCCTGTAATCATGGATTTTATTTCCAAACAGGCAGATGCTGTTAACCAATTTACTTTACCAAAGTTAACAGATTACTTTTTTAAACTTAAAATATTGCATTAGTAGAAACGATTTATAAAAATAATGCTAAATTCGTATTTGTTGATAAAAGACAAAATTACAATGACAGTATTATATTTCTGAGTAAAAACTGCAGTGACTAGACTGGAGCTGTTACCACATCCCACTTATCTGTACATACAACATGATTAAGCACCCTTTTGGAAAAAATATTTATTAGGACATATTTTAATATCTATCTTCTTAGCAACTCTTATTTAGTGTTTCAAATGCCCCTGATGAGCTAGTTGTCTAATTTCAATTAAAATGAGCAGGAATTGTCTGCCCAAAATTCTTTAGGCTATGCAGACTAATTATTATGGTTAAAGTTTTTATTTTACTTTGGCAAAAAATCTTTGTACAAAATATTTTAGGTTAAATTTGAAATCTATGTTTTATGAAAAAAATGCATGTGATGTAACTGACATAATAGGTTACAGAGAAAATCCTTTTCTTTGTCATTTCAACCTACTCTCTCAATTTGATTGTTCATAGCAAATAGTAAATACTTTATAACAGCACCTTTCCAGATTGAAATGCCACAAGTCCAAATACTGCATCTAGTTACTCTTAAAATTACAAGGGGAGAACTAATTGGCTGCTGAAACACTGAGTAGATACTGAAATTGATAGTGTAGCCTAATATGAATTAGAAATACAGTATCAGTAATGACAGCATATTTTTCATAGATGAATGATGTATCAAAAAGGGAAAGTCAAATGCTGCCTAATGACAAGAAAATCAAAGTGTGTCAAAAAGAGTTACAGATTTCAGATAAATTTATAAATGCTCGTTCAAATATTTAATTCGAATACCTTCCATTGAAGAGGTGGAGACAGATCGCAAACCTTCATGACTTACCTGTATGCCAAACTTCTGTTATTTCTTATTGTTGATAAGACTTATCATTTTTTTCCTCCTAATAATGAACTCTGACATTTGCCTGAAATGTTACCTGTTAGATTTTTCTGAGAATGTTTCTTAGTTTGTTGTATACTCCCAATGGGAAACGTGGAATATGTTTTCCTTACTAATAAGGCAAAATTTTTCAAGCTTTCTTAAATTTATTTTTAGACAATTTTGAGCTCATGACTTCTGACATTTGCTTTAGCTTGAGCTTATAAAGTTGCTTTGATGCCTCAGTTGTCAATATTAGATGAGTAATTCTCTTGCTAGAATTCCAAGGGCCTGAGGAGGACTATTGTGATGACTTAAAACCTAAATATATCTATTGCTTACTAAGCAGGATCTAGTAAGCAGATTGGAAGGAGTGCGTATATGAAGGTGGAGAAAATCATGTGAGTTGTGTAAGAATCACAGCAAATAGTCGTGGCCAGAAAAAGGGGGGAAAATTCCAAATAATTCGATCTTTCCTGTGGCTGAGAGGACAACAGGATGTTTTTAACAAGGAGACTTGAAGACAACTGCTATTTCCTATATAAGGAAATATTTTTTTTCCTATATTTCCAACTATATAAGCTTTGTAGCAGCATAGATGTTTTACCGCTGGGAGAATAGGAAGTATCCTGGTTTTTACCAGCAGTTGAACCTGATAGATGTCATAGCTTGGCAGCTTCTGATCCATACAACTGAAGTTCAGATCAACTGATGCAGTTTTGCAAGGTGTATTTAAGTCTGCAAGCTGTTCTCATTAGGTGGAAAGCTGAGAAGTGTTACCTACCTGATGATTTAAGACTTTTCTGTAACTTTCTAATATATATAACCCAATAGTGCACATATAGGCTCAGCTTCTCCTAACAGTAGAAAATAAACACTGTGTATTTTTAGCACATACATCATGGATTGTTTTGGGTTGGCATGCTGTTGTTAGGTTAACGACTAGTGAAGAGCGAGTGAAAAATCTCTTGAGGGAAGCTGATCCCCTTAATACAGTAAATGTTCTAATAAACAGAATATGAGAATCTTTATTTTGAAAGTGGCAGTTAGGATATACTTAACTTGCGGGAACATATTATTTGCTCAGGAATAGCCTAAAGCAATGCAAAATACCAACAATTAAAATATTGCCATGTTATTATCACTTACTTGAATTCTAAGTACAAATACCATTTTGTAAAAGAGAAAAACCCCAAGTAAAAGACCAGGGTTTTGCCAAAGCTATGAGAGTATATGGTAGGAATCAGGATGAAAATCATATCAGCAATTAGGCATATGGGACTAAACCAGTGATAGCAGTAGTCATTACTTACATATGCTTTTGAAGTTGTAAATATTAACTGATAAGGCAGCTCCTAGAAGCATTAAGGATGAATGAAGTACTTGTCCTAAATTCACCAGCACTGCATTCTGAACTGAGTATCGGATGTTAATTTTTTTTTATCTATTTAAAGTAAGCAAATACCCATTCTGGAAATAGGCAGATATGGAGAACTTCCAAACCTTTGGCTATAAACATATATATACGTATTCTTTACTCCTGCCAAGATGTGTTCTTCCCCCTTCTGCTTTTTTCTGCTTTCTGTAATTACTGCAACTCTGAAGCTGTGTTATTATTACCTCACTATTAGAAGGCAGTGCAAAGTGCAAAGAATGCAAATATTTATCAGTAACAAATCACAAGGTTTGCCTCCCAGCTGCATTAGGTAGAAAACTAGTCATTTAAGCACTAGTTGCAACAGCCTTTTTAGTTGCTTTTAAAATGTTTTGCATGCTGTCATTCCATGCTACGTGATTCCTGAAGGATAATGCCTTTGTAACTTTAAAGCTTTTGCTTGTGTGCATGTAGTACTATATTTTTGTGGGTTAGTTTGCATGACAGCTGGAAATACGATTGTGTATTGAGCCAGCAATCACATTAGTGAAGTTTTTCTTAATTCAGACAGTGTTTGCTTTGGCTAGTAAGAGTGATGCACTTACTAAAAGAAAAAATGCAGCAAACTTCATTGTGAGTTTATAGATCGTTTGTGCCTTGGGGAAAAAAGCAAACACCTCTGTTTGAATTTTCCAACATTCATAATGGCATGGTGCACAGCTTTCAGATTTGATGGACTTTTGCATTAATGCCTTAGAAATATTTAAACAAATCACTAATTTAGTGTAATTTCTAATTCCACTAATATAGTGGAATATGGGTTCCATGGGTTTCCTGTTTCAATGTGTTTTAAGTGTCCTACAGGAACAAAACCCTACATTTTCTAGATTCCTTGCAGTGATTTAGAGAGACTTCTTGACTCCTTTCTCCTACCTAAATCTCTCTTTAACACACCCCCCTCCCCCCATCCTGCCCTCACCCTTTCCATAACCTAGTCCTGATTTACTGTAATTCCTTCAAGAGCTAATTGAGCTACTCTGCGAAATAAGTAAAATAAGTGGTACAGACTGCATGATGTTGAGGTGAGATTGTGTTCCTAGCTTTCTTTAGAGACTGCAGCTGAAGCTAAACTTGCCTTTTTGGCAGCTGCAGAGAATGTTTTTTTGCCAATACTCTGTCTAGTAAGTTGGCTCAGTTTCTTGCCAGCATGTAGCCGACAGTCTGGCTGACAGGTAGCTGTGTAACTAGCTGTGTGGTGCAGGGGAAGTTCATTAAACGAAATGATTTATTAAATGTAAAATAGAGGGACCCATATTTCACGATACATCACATAGTAGTATGAGATGATACGGGATTGCTGTTGTCTTTCCTTTTTTTTTTTCTTAAATGCTTGAGGAGTGTTCTGAATTTTTGCTGATGTGCTCAAGCACTTAAATGTAATCTGATTCAATATCAAAACTTTTCAACTATGATTTCCAAGGGGAGGAGAAACATAACTGCATGTGTTTTTCTTTCTACAGGGATGAATTGTAAAAGCTACATCATCTTGACCCAAACATAGTGTTACAGTGGACTGCTCATCTCCAGTTCTAAAAGCTTTTTGAAAACCAACAGCATTGCAGCTTGTTTTGGACTTCGTTATACTGTTGTTATCAGCATGGAAAAGCGTGGTGTTTGTTTTATTTTTTTAGATGCTCAAGGCAAATCTGATAAAGAAATGGTGGAAAGTTTTATGTGGGCACTGTTTTATTTAACATGCCTTTATTTTACTTTCATCTGTTCGAAGTGAATTTCTGCAAAACTGCAGATAAAGACCTATAGCTTGTGAACTCTAATTTTGATGGGGGTACTTGAACACTCACTTTTCTCGGCTCCTGTGTCCCTTGGTAAAACTGCTTCTGTGCACCTTACGACACTACGTAGGTAATACCAGGTTTTCTGTGTTCCGACGTCTGCTAGATGCTACTAAAAGGAGATGATCTTCCTTTTTAAGCTTTTGACATGGTGTCATAGACTAGCATGTAGTAGATACAATCAGCTGCTTTATTACCTTAAAACCAGGCATTTGTATATATTAAACTTCAAGACATCAGAGGTGGGTGGCCGCTCTTATCAAACATTGCTGTTCAACTTGGACATAACGGACGTAGTTTTCCCTTTCCTTCTAAAATTAATTAATGGAGTCTTGGAATTCTGTTTTAGTTTATAGCTCACTACTGGTGTGATACACATGGATTTAACTGCATAAATATGATGTTAGCTATGTCCCAGTCACTGAAAAGTTTATGCAATGCTGCTCTGCCAAATAACGTTAAAAGCAAAAGGGGACATGCATGCTTGTGTGGAAGATTAGGATCAGTATGTAGAAGACTACTGAGATATGGATTGCTAGATTCTTTAAAAGAAAATACCCAGTTTGGTTCTAAAAGAAACTTGCTTTTGGAAAAGACACTTGCTGATTAATGTTCTCATTTTTATAACTGTAGGCACCCAGGAAAAATTCTAGCTTTTTAGAAAGTGAAATTGCTATATGAGGAGACGTGATGCATGCAAAAGGAATAATGAATCCTGGACTCCTAAGTGCAGTCAGAGATTCAGTTGTTCAGTTTTCATAGAGATGAGTAGTTGGAAGGTTATAAACCTTTTTTTTTCTGCCCCAGGTTTTCTGTTTTGGCACTGTAAAATGTCAACAGCAAACTGTAAAGCTGTACAGTAAGGTGAGTTGCTTCAGGAAAGGAAGGAAGTGTGTCTTGAGTCATCTTGCTCAGATTTGAGCAACCACGAATTGAAGTAAGCAGCATGTTAGCATAATTTTCCTTTTAGGGGTAAAAAGGATTATTGAATAAAATAACTTGCATAAACCCAACCCATAGTGATCACTGCAAAAATTGTATTTGACTTTTCATGTGGAACAGCAATAATTTGTGATAGGATTGATCCCTGAAAGCATAAAGGTTAAAATTCAAAGGCCTCTGAATATGAAAGAGGAACATTTTAAATAACCTTCCTTTTGAAGGTCAGCCCCATCCTATTCCGGCCTGAGATATGTATCGCTTAATTTATTTAGATGTTTGGAAGTTAATGTACCACCTCCTGATCTGACTGCAGCCTGGGAGCACATACACAAAGATTAATCTTATAAAGGAATTAATATAGCGTGTATTCTAGAAAATACAATTCAGAAAAACCCACTTGCGCCTGACAAATTTGTACTAACCCACAATCAACTGTGAATCTAGTTCTTGGTGTTGAAGTGAAATATCTTAAATGATGCATGCTAATGTTCAACCTTTTGGTCACTGTATCATTCAATTTGAGTTCAGCTTTATTTACATCTTCTCACTAATTTAATCAGTTAAATGAAAGATATGAGCTCAACTGTATCCAAATTCTTGTCTCTGGACACAGTGTAATAAGCTAGACTAACTTGAAAGAAATAATAAAGCTGAGACCCGGCGACAACTTTTTTGGGAAGAACCACTTCAGGAGGTGTAAGACTTCAGGGACCAAGGCTGTTGGGATTAGTGCACCCATTCCACTGAAGGGCTTGGTGATAGTCAAGGTACTCGGACAGAAAGGAGTATCTGGGAGTAGCGTTTAGGAATTGGAAAATGAAAACCCCGCTGTGATGGAGCAATGGTTCTGAAGTAAAAACTTCTTGGAGAAGAGGACAAGTTGAAATGCAGAAGATCTGAAGAGCTTGAAAAAGTGCTGTGTGAACTGTCTGAATTGCTACTTTGCCAAATAAAAAAAAATGAGAGGAAGCTGTATCTAGGTGTCTGTTGCTTTTGTGTTTGGTTGTTTGGTTGGTTTTTTTAACCTTCACATGACTTCACATATTCAGAAAGAAAGAAAGCACGTACAAATACTGGTTTACTAAATGACCAGATCTATGTGTCTGTTTTCAGTTAATATATTGCAGCAGTTACCAAGCCTGGTAATAACAATATGGAACATAAGCAGAGTTTTCCTTGGATGTTTGGAATTTCTTTTAGTTCACATCCGTGTGTTTTGGGGAACAGAGTGTGCACACAGTGTATGAATCCTGCCTGCTGTCTGTGGTTGAACCAGCTAGCTGGGAGTGTATGATCTGCCACTTGCAAGGATTAAAGTTTATCTTTTTATAAGAGGTGCAGTGATGTTTCACTGGATTGTTACGATCATCTCTAAGCCAGAACAACTTGGGAGAACAGATTGGCTGAACCAGTGACAGTCACTCATCCGGTTGTTTCCAGGGATCAGGCAGTAGACGTCCTCCAGAGTCTGAGTAGTGGAACCAAGAGCCCATAACTGTATCCTGAAAACCCACAAACAGCTGTGGGTGCTCCGCAGAGAAGAGCAGTTTACTTAGCAGGAATATATGTTTATTTACTATTTCCATTCAAACTAGCCATGTACCTTGAGGGCATAGAGACCATTACATGACTTTTTTTTTTTTTTTTTTTGAGGGAAAAGTGCACTGAGGGTGTGTACCAGTGCTGCTGATTGAAGCCACCTGGATGATTCCTGAAATGTTTTGTAGTCAGCAAGTTTGAAATGGGCAATAACGCCTGGAGCGGGGGGGGCTTTACGTGGTAGGCTCTGGAGCATCCAGCTGGCAGCAGTTCTCTCTGCGTGTGCAGTGTTTTTGTGACAGGGTGACGAGCTCCAGGGTTTTTGAGTGTGGAGGGACTGTGGAAATAACCATCAGCACAATGAGGTAAACTAAAATGCCCGGAGGAAAATACTGAACTAATACTGTCATTCCTGCCAGAAACAAGGGTGTTAACCCAGTCTTACAACAGGGTGTTCTTCATTTTAGTCGTTAATGTGCCCTAGGATGTGCTGCATTTGATTTAAATGCAGTTCACAGAAAGAGGATATGATTGCAATTCCTTCTTGATTTTGACATGATGCAAAGGATGAGTAATGCAAACTAAGCTCATGATTTGTATCTCTGCTTCCATTTAGCTGATTTTGAACTTATTATCATGCATTTAGGAAGATCAGTAATACTAATTACCAGTATGGAACCCTTGTTCTTTGTCCCAAATGATGTGGAAGAGGTATTCTGCTGAAGTGAATTGGCAGTGGTCCTGGCTCAGCAAAAAGGCACGGTGAGGTCCTGCAAGCACATTGTGCCAAGCAAAACAACAACAACCAAACAAAAAAAACCACGAGGAAGTGCTCCCCAAAGCACAGCAGGTGTGCAGGTGATGATGAGGTCTGAAATTGGTCTTTTGCATTTCAGGACATCCAGACTTTATGCATCAGGAAGTGTAAATTGGAGTTTAAGCACTGTGGTATGGGGTTTAAGTTGGTTTTGTGGGCTCATACAGTTTGCCTTTGTTGGCTCTACTTTGAATTTTTGTCCATCTGCTTATAATTGACAGGTTGAAGACCAGTTGTGGGAAGCACACAGACACTCTTCAGATGTAAATAAAATCGTTTGCCTTTACTGTGGTCACTTCTGTGGTCAGAGATGCACTTCTGTGGTCAGAGCAGCCAGTGGGAAGGTTTGGGTTTCCACACCTCAGCCAGGCCTGAGGAAATCAGCTTGGACTAAAACTTGGCCTTTATGCAGGTAGAGACGGTATAAACTTTCCTCTACCTGTCCTGTTTGGCTCCCACATTTCTCCTGGACGTGCAGGGCTGCTTTCTGTCCCAGGTTTAGTTTTATACACAGCACAAATTCATAACGCAGCTGATGTGTTCTGAGTTTTCCTATGAAAGGCTGTTACTGTTCTCTCATGGTCTTGGCAGGGTGTTAATGAGATGCTCAGCAGAATGTGCTCAGGAACTAAAATCCTATTTCTTTAAATTATGAATTGAATGGACATAGCTATTGCTGAAACATGTATGGAGGAGCTCCAGCTGCCCGTTGAAAATTGCTTGAAAACTTCAGGAAGCAGAAATGGAAAGAACTCACTTTCCATTGTGCTGCCCGCTTTCAAGTTCTTTCCAGTCCTGCACCCATTCAAGTTTCCTGCTCCCTCTGTATCTGTCTTGTTGAGTCATTTGTTTTGAATTTAGATATCTTTAATGAGTCTTTCTTGTGCATTAGGAGATGGTAGTTGTGAAGAACTATGTTATAATTTCTTGCTCTGTCCTCAAAATGAGATTAAACGTTTCTGTTGGCCGAACAGCCGAGGACATCCTTGCAACCTGTGACTCTCAGTCCTTCACGGCACTGAACCTTTCTGCCTTGTCAGTTGTTTCTCAGCCTGCTCAAAATACACTTTCTATTGGTTTATGAGCGGTTTGTAACTGTCAGTCAGGAGCCTTACAGATGCAAAAATTAAAATTCTAGCAGGTGTCTTTAAAAACTTGTTTCTGAATTGGCTTTTTGTGTTGGTTCAGTCCTTCTAGACCTCTCTTTGTGTTTCAGAGCTCCAGTGCAGAGCGCAGTGTTCAGCAAGTGTTTCTGTTGTATTACAAATGTATTTGTAGCCTTACATTCTCACTTGCTGACTTGTTTTGAGTAACTATTAGTTGAAAAATATATAGCAAAGGTACTTCTACACATTTTTATTCCCTGTTTACAGCATGTTTTCCTTTTCTTACTCGGGTCAAGCCTACTGTTCCATGGGCTCTTTTCTTTTGTACTAATTACTATGTGTTTATTGCCTCTTGTCTGGTCTTTACATCCGTCAGCTCTCTCCAAATCTTTTCTATTTTTTCCCCTTTGCTTTTACTCTTTCAGCTTTTGCCATTAGAAACCGAAAAATCCCAATTCCTGATGCTCACGACAGCAGCAAGCGCAGACGTCAGTGATGCGTGACCATGAATTCTGTTGGGGCTTACGAGAAAGGCGCTCTCTTTGTTCGGGGTGGCGCAGTTGTGTTGCAATTGGTTCCTGCTGCTGACTCGCTCTGTGGAGTTTGGGATCGAAACCCTTACGCTTTAGCTAGGATTTAAAAAGCAAATGGAGCATCACACTGACCTATTTCAGCCTTTTTGTTTTTTTGCAAATGTGCTTTTGGAACTGCCCCTGCTGTAATCCTGCAGTGCCATGGGAAGACTGCAGCAGGGATGTCCAGTCTAGGATCCCCGGCAAATGTGGGCTGCAAGCAACCCACGTTATGGAAAAACATGACTTCTAATTATGGATAAAAGTCAGGTAAGCATTGCCTGTTGCTGTGAAATAACTTGTACCCTTAAGTGTAAGTGAGCTGGTCTGAAGGGCAAAACAACTGAAAATATACAAAGCAATCTAACTGAAATACATTATCTTGATCAACATTAAAGTACACTGACAAAGCAAATTGTAATGACCTCTCCTAATACACAGAGGAATAATATCCACAGGCATACGCTATCAGAGCAACCAATATTCTCTGCTTACCTGTCTAAAGCGTGCTGGTGGTAAAAATAGGTGGACTGAGCGTATTCTGAGATGTGTGGATAAGACATGTGTCAGCGTTCCGGACAGGAAAACCAGATCTGACAGACATCAAATAG